AGCCAACGCATCAGGAGAAGCATCAGCTCGGGAGACTAACATAAACGTACAATATATCCTTTGTTGCGTCGTGTGACGTCAAAAAAAGTTGAGCGTTATCAGGAGTGATAAGGGCCTCAACTTTTTCCGCTGCTTTTTGACATTCATTGAGGGAAAGCCAACGCATCAGGGGAAGCTTCAGCTGAGGAGATTAATATAAACGTACATTCTTCGTTGCGTGGTGTGACGTCACACAAAAGTTGAGCCTTATCTGGGGTGATAAGGGCTTCAACATTTTCGGCTCCTTTGCGACACTCACTGCGGGAAAGCCAACGCATTAGCCCGGGAGACTAATACAAACGTACAATATATCCTTCGTTGTGTGGTGTGACGTCAGACAAATGTTGAGCCTTATCAGGCGTGATAAGAGCCTCAACTTTTTCGGCTGCCTTTTGACATTCATTGCAGAAAAGCCAATGCATCAAGGGAAGCTTCAACTCGGGAGACTAATACAAACATACAATATATCCTTCGTTGCGTGGTGTGACGTCAAACAAAAGTTAAGCCTTATCAGGCGTGATAACAGCCTAAATTTTTCGGCTGCTTTTTTTACAGGCATAGCAGGAAAGCCAACAAATTAGGGGAAGCTTCAAGTCGGGAGACTTTAATATTTTAATATTAATAATTTAATTCATTAATAATTTTAATATTTCTAACTTTGTGTGATGTGGTTACGTACACCAGCGGTGACGGAAAACTAGGGCACTGCGCGTGATCCAAGCTTTGATATCATAACAGCTTTCGGTGTAAAAAAACAAAAAAACAAAATGGGACATTTTCTGTCAAGACATTGGTGAAGTATTTCTTAATGTGCGGATAAAAGCCCCTTTCAGTAACATTAGCACTCGAAGACACCAGGGAAAATCCGGCTTTGCGAAAATTTGTTTTATTGCGATAGCAATTATATGGACACTCTCGGCTGGATTTTGCCGCCAGCATTACCGTCATTCACCGTATATGTATACGTATGTGTATATATAAAAACGAAAGAAAAAAAGTATTGCAGAAGTTGATTCCAGCACACGGAATCGAACGTCTGCCTTTTGATTTGAGAGTGCGAGGCGTTAGCCACGAAGGCGCACCTCCTTCAGTGTTGAAACGGCAAGCAATTTATATCTACCACTTACCGCTGGTGATAGCCACCTAGGGGGGAACTATCGTGTTTTCAACATTACCAGCGAGATGGCGCAATGAGCGCACGTCGCTAGGGGAGCGCACGCATCGATGAACCCTAGCGTCGCCTAGATATACAGTATACACCTTTTCACAGGAAGGGAAAAAAAACACTGCCATGATGGGCTGTGCGCGGGAGTACAAAGACTAAGGGCGCAGCGTTGTCAGTGCATTTTCGAGGGGACGCGCCAATTTGCACAGCCCAAGGAGGGCTATGGCGGCACCCAGGGAGGCGTTTATGAAAAGGTGAATACGCTGCCTTTAGGTAGCATATACAGTATTTATAGGCGAGTCGCGTACAGTTACTGTACATGCTCCCGTATAGAGTAACTCTACACACAGCTGGTACTTGAATTTCTCTCTAGATGGGGCTGCGGTGCTCGCTCCACTCCGATTCGTGTTCTGCGACCACGTTCGTTCTTGCCTTAAAATTCGTTCGCTCTTGGCGTGCTTCCTCTTTCGCCGGCAGTCTGTGTGCTTCGAGCATGAGTGACGAATACAAGGTGGCGGACGGCTCAGAAAAACGGCTGCGGCGCGTGCTCGCCATCTTCATATGATGATAGACTGGGCAAGATTCGCGAACAATTCATGACTTACCGATGTACCTCCCGAGCTTCGCCCACTCATCACCATTCGACTCCGCGGATATGCTTTGATTTTTCTTCTCGTTTGAGAGCCGTTTCCGCGAGCAGAAGCAACAAGTAAAAAAAAAGGGGGGGCGTTTGTTTTATTGACTGAGTTTTGAATGATCCCAAAAACTCAAGCACGGACCAACACACAAGTACTGAGAGACACGGGCAAAGATCAACTTTATTATTATTTGAAAGTAGAATAAAAATAGTAATATGGATTCTTAATATCAAACATACACAGCTCTCGCATCCGCTGCTGCTTTTAGAGACGAAAAAAAAAAAAAAAAACAAGCGCGTGCATACGGGCTGATGTCGGCTGGGTCGGGGGGAGAGAACGAAAGCATCAAAGTGCACATCAGCCACTGACAATTGACAATAATAACATGAGCACACACATGGACACGCACACACAAAAGAGCGAAATAGAAAAAAAAACCTCTCAGGCTGTCACCGCCCTCGTAACAGGTAAGCTAACGGTGGCAAATGAATCGAAAAAATAAAAAAAAAACGCACTGTAAGAAAGCACTCTCTCATCACGAATAATAAAAAGAAAACACTCGACAGAAAAATGGTACACAAGGAGTCCTTTGGTTCTTTGAACAACGCGAGTGAGCGAGAGATGAATTGAGAGAGAAAAAAAAAACAGCGCGGGAAGATGATGGTTTATAAATTACATTGCACGAAGTTGTAAGGGATGGGGGAGGGTGTGGGCGAGATATCTCTGTGTTTGTATAGAGACAACGCACCACGATGAACGCGAGTGGCATCACAGGGGAAGGCATACATCGCTGCCGTCATGTATATATATTTACCTTCGAGGCAGCGCCTCTTGCAAACCTTAAAAAAGTACACACAACACAAGCGCACCGTATAGAAGAGGCAAGAAACACCGGAGCAAAAGGGAAACAAAAACAAAGAGCCCAAAAGAAACGCAGGAAGGATTTGGTTTTTTTTTTTTTTCTCCTTTGCTTGCTGCTGCGATATAAGCAGTCCCAGGCTAGGCAAGTACAAGAGCTTAGACCTGGTTCCGTTTTGACGATCGGTTCATTCACACGGTCGATGGATTTTACATGACTGTGTGCACGTTCATGGAAGGCAACAAGCAATGAGATATATAATGTATGTATATTTATATATATTTATATATATTTATATTGGTATATGTATATATTTATATTTGTATGTATGTGTATAATGTACCCCCAAGTGGCAGTTGATGTATCACATATTCCATACGAATAAAAAAAAAACAGGTGTTTTTAATAGACCTGACTTGTAAGTGAGTGGAGAAGCGAAATTCCTTCATCGTTTCAAGATAGTCACGAAGTTTCGACAGCAGAGCCTCCAATAACTGCATTTTCCTTTACATTTTTTTTTGTGCTCCTGAACGAAATGAAAACAAGTGTTTGCTGTCTGATCATTTTAGCTACCATAAATCAACAAGTGAAGAAAACATTTAGTTTCAACACCAAAAGACTACAGACGGAGCTAACTCAGTTGAACGATGAAAGTTTGTGGCAGGGGACTTTCTAACGAGAGCACGAACCTTTACGTCACAAGTGCATCATGGCGTTCACTCGGCATTCGAACTTGAACGGTGTACCGGGTCACTGATAAAGCTTTCAGCCGGAATGAAGAAATGTAATACATCAAGTGTTATTTTTCTCAGTGAGAACTAGCACGGGCTAGCCGCATCTCAGAAATTGTTGAAAAGGCCAAGACAGCAACTACGGTAAAGAAATGAGACATCGGAGGGGGAGGGAACGTCACGTCTACTCAGCTAGTCTCTGGCCACTGTTCTAATGATTTCTTTCTCGCAATTTGTCAGCGATAAGAGGAGATAATGAAGATAACGTGAAGCGTGCGCCCGTATAAATGTGTATGCGATGATGTTCACTAGTTTACATGTCGGAGTTCAATTCGCGTCTTTTAGTTTCTTGTTTCGGCAACTTGTGTGACACGCACGCGATAGTCGTAGCATAATAAAAAACGGTGCTCAAAGAAGAAAGCGGGATCGCGAAAGAAAAAACCACTACGCTACATGTACACTGTATGTATATGTATGCATGCTCTATATACCCCATGTGAGTACCGGGATCATATATGTACAATGTTGAGTGTGACAGCCGTGGGATGCCCATACAAACTTACACACAAAACACAAGTAATATTGCAAACCGACTGAGAAAGAAAGGTTTTCTGTCCTATACAAGAAAAAAAAAACAAGTCATGTTCAAAATCCTATAGAATTTCCATAATTGCATTTTACTTGTGTTTAGCACCAGAATAAGTGGAATAAAATGCAAAAGATTAAGAAAAACATGGGGTAAGGTAAAAGACTTGGAATGGGGAACGTTCAACTATGGCTTTTGAAAATGTAACTGTGCTGCTCGACCCCTTTCAACCACAGCCCGTAACATCAGAATGTCCCTAAAGTGAGGTGAACACCCTAAGACAGTGTCAGTGTGCTCACAGCTGCTTTTAATCTGAAGGTTGGTATGCTACAGAGCTTGTTTGAAGGTACAATTATGTATAGTATTTACACACGTCTCTTGTCATCGATTACGTTTATGTATATATATATATTTATAGTTATGTATATTATATATTTATATATCTAACACTTGTCGATCCTTGCACGTGTGGAAATGAACAAGGGGGAAAACAAAACAGAAGCGACTTCGCACTGTCCGAGACAAGAACACTCAGAAGAGAGCACAACAGCCACACCACACAGGCGCGCACACACACACGCAAACAAAGTCAGGTGTTCGATACACAGGTCTGTACACAGGTGGAGTCATACTCCAAAAGCTTGAGGGGAAAGTGGGGAAGGATGGTGTGCTCGAAAGGGCGCTTGCGTCACAATGAGCGCCGGATCAGGTGGTTGACAGTAAACGGACACCTGCCGGCGCATGCCCAGTCACGACAGTGTGGAACTCGACAATGCATTGAATGCATCGTCGAGCATGTCAAAGGGGAAAAACAATGTCGGCCAAGAATACACGTGTATGACCCTCTGTCGGCCGAGAATACACGCGTACGACCCTCTGACGCTGGTGAGGCGTCGCATGGAAGCTGTCCCGAATACAGCCGATAGGCCTACTAGGGAAGAGAGTTGACACTCTTCACCGGATGCCACTGTGCACTCGGGGAGCAGCGTAGGTCTGGTATTTTATTTTTATAGTTTGTAGCAGCCATGTGGTAGGTTCAAATAAGGTTGCTGTTTTTAATTCTAATCACACCAGTTGGCACTTGTCGAGCACGAAATAAAAGCTGAGCAAACGAGTGCACCCCTAGGGGGCCGATAACTAGCTGCAGCGAGAGAGTAGCGAGCCCCGCTCGACTTGAAGTGAAGTGGAATGGTAGGACGTTTACGCGGCTACATCGGATACGTTTGTCTGTCCTAATCTACAGGCATAACAGTAAAGCCGTTTCGCTTGGGATTTGGATTCGATGACCATTACACAGATTACAGTTCGGCAGCCAAACCTAACGTATTCACGTGCATGACACACTCGGCCTTTTCTTGAGCTCGTCGACATTCGTGGAAGAGGGAGAGAGAGAATAAAAACTGGACAGTTGGAACGCTCATGACAGTCTAAGTACACGCATTGTTCGTTATGTTCACCGGCAGAGAGAAGAAAAGTACAGAAACGAGCAAGAATCACATGCCGGCCATCCTGTCTACAGAAGCAAGAACATGTGCAATGAAGCCGAGTAACAGTGTTCAAAAGACTGATGATGGATTCATGGGGCGAGTCCGGTGAGAAAGCAGAGGTAAAAAAAAAAGGCGTAACGTTGCTACACAAGAGCGTCAAGCGCTATGCTATCTACAGTGTCACCGGGGTGCTATTCTCCAGCTTGCCTGGGCTCATACTGCCCGCGCAAATTCTGGCATGATGCGCATCGCATCATTTCAAACACGCAAAAGCTGTTATCACATATTGAAATTAGAAAAAAAAAGAATAACACTGACATCACAAATTAGCTCTAACGCAACAATACCTGCACCATCACATCGCTTTCCGGGGTCCGTGCCTACGTCCCTATCAGCTCATTGCAGATTGTTAGCTCCTCAAAACACGTCCGCCTCTAGGTGCAGTTCCGCGCAGCTTATTCGATCTCCATGCAGCGGATGCTCTTGGTTTACTGATAGCCAGTGTGGTACTGTCATGAGTGTAAAGCGCGTTCTTCTTTCTTTTTTCCAGTGTCCGATTACTCTGCAAGTTGCGTTTAGGTGAAAGAGGGTGAAGTGTGAATGGGCTGCATGATTGAAACACTCACATGCATGCCTTATCTGAGCATCACAAGCACTTACTTGGCTGTTACCGCAAGATGTAAGTTCCGAAGGTTACCTGTAAAACGTGACCTCGACTGAAAACAGAGCAGAAAGGACTGAACAAGTGGTTCCAAGTCATTCATTGCAATGAGTATCTGTGTAGAGTTTCAGCGTGCCACATGAAAATGACGAGGTGAGAAAAGGATGTTTAGTTTTTTTCTCTTTCTGTCTTCTATGGAAGGCTTTGAACGGGCTGTTTGTTAGGTGAAGAATGGGACTAGCACGTACTGACAGCGGACATAGCACAAATCATAGGGGACTAGGCAGTAACAAAGGCTTGACTGAGTCTCAAAAAAGAAATATATAAAACGTGTGTGCATAAATACCACTAGCTCCGGGACAAGACACGACAGCTCTTGTGCTACGAAATATCTGCACAGAAGGGACATGGTTGATTCCCGTGTTCGATAAGGGCCGCCCTGCTGAACCTTCAGTGCATATCTTTCTTTGGCTTCGTGTGAGTCGTCTCCCGCCGACTCACTGCGGTTTCACTGGGGCGTCAATATTTGACCCTCGTCTTCGCCAGTCACAACAGTAGGTTGCTTGCAGAGGCAAGAGAGACTACGTTCTCCGGATGACTGTCCACCTCGCAACTACTGGCAACGACGAAGAACTCAGGATTTGGCAGAATAGCGTTGAGTGCAGACGCAAGTTACGTGCCAATAACACCACAACGGTGGCTAAGTTCCCTTTTTCGCATATGTTCTACTCAGAAATATGACATGGGACCAAAGCATTGCATTTGACACCGGTAACGCTGATGCTATGCTTGTCATTCTCGGCTAGAAAATCTGGGCAAACACCACTTCTTCCAGTATGTATACATGAAAAGCACCAAGTTACACGCAGCTTTCATTGCACAAATAGTGGTGACGTGTTGCGATCTACCACAGGACTGCTTGGGCGAAGATGAAACGGCAGCTACGATTGGTGGGATGCATGAGACCTTTGGTCAGCCAAGTTATATAACAAGTGCTCGCGAGAGGCAAAAAAAAAAAAAAAAGTCGATCTTTTCTATAGCACTGACAATATAATACACTGGCGAGCTAGCAGCCAATACTCACACGTGTGCGTCCCAGCATACGCAAATGCCTCTGTATTAATAGAAAACGCTGGGCTCATGCACCAAAGATTAGCGCTGCTATGGCTTGAAAACCACGTCAACGAGATTTGTAAGGCTGACGCAGCAACAGTGTCAATCACCACAAACCAGAGTGAAATGAAACATCACAACACGTCTTAAAAACGTACAAACGTAAAAACAATGAACGGTAGTGCACGAGGACATACAGAACGGTCTACTGCGCACAGAGCACAGTGTGACGTAACAGTCTGGTCGTTCAGAGTTCGGCTCGTGTACGTCTAGTCAAATACGTCAATGCTTGAAAGAACAACAACACAAACAAGAGAGGCGACGAGTGTGAGAGCTAAGGCCACATTGCACCGGGCTCAAAGATGAAGCGGTGGCTCCGAGTCGGACGAGAATGGCGCGCAACAGTCAAACTGGCGCGTCAAGTCGGCCACAATGAGTTCACAAAGTGTGTATTGTCTTCTCGCAGAATAGCGGACAAACCGACCACTGCTTTGCGGCTATAGTTCTACGAGTACCTTCACAGCTGTGAAAACTTGTTCAAGGAGATGTTCTGCTTATATATCTATAAAAAAAAGCATGTGTGGCCCCTTTGTCAGTCACAAAAATAACCGAATCTTGGGGCTTTGTCTGGTTCAAGCAATCGTTGCACCAGTCTCACAACTCAGGGCGGTAAACCTAACATTGGGATGAAGGGACGGGCTGCATGTGAAGAGCCAGCTACAGAGCTGGCGGCCGAGTTGGATCACTGGCGTCGACGTAAAACGGGGAGAGGCTTCAAGTGGGCTAGAACTAGACGTGGGACAGCTGTGTGCCCGGTATGTAATGTTCTAGAACTCCCAGTCCTCGCCACGTTCTTCGCCACGGTTGTCCAGCCTCTGTTCTAGTTTTCCGCATTCCGTCGCCACTGCTAGGCTTCTTGGCGGTGGTGCACAGTTCGAGTGCCGTCTCCTCCTCTTCATCGTCGTCCTCATCCAGGTCGTCCCTCTCGGCACTCTTGCGGGCATCGTCGGCGGCCGCTACGGGATCCACCCGCACCGTCTCGCGAAGTCTCAGCCCGAAGTCACCAGCAGCGACCGTCTGGCGGACGCAGACGCCATTGATTATGGCGCTTTCCGCGTCACCTCCCACCGCACCACAAGTCGTCGTCCACATTGGCACCCGCCTCGTCGTCCTCGGCATCGTCCGAGTCCGGTGACAGGCCAGGGTCTACCCACTTGGGCACCGCTGGTTTCCGTCGCCGACTGCTGTAGCTGTTGTGCTGACCCAGAGCGCCGACGGAAGCGTTCCGTGGCAGGCGCTGGAGAAGGCGTCGAGATGCTCTCTTCCTTCAGCGAGTCGCGGTCACTTCCCGCGGTCGCGGGTTCGTCCTGGGACAAGTTCGAGTCGTCAAGGTCTTCAGTGGGCGTTCCGCCACCGCGAGCCCACGTCCTGCGACCTGAAGACGCCTGGCTCGACGACATGCTCAGGTCTAGCGTGCCTTCGTCGTTGCCCTGTTGCGATGACGGGGAGTAACTGTTGTAAGCATTGAGGCTGAGAGCGCCGCGGCGCCCGCACCGAAAGCGCTAGGCCCGCTCTTGTCCCCACCGCTGCCATGCATTTCGGCGAGCCGCTGAACGAGGAGACCTCGGAACAGAGCCGGGTCGAAAGAGGCGGAGCCCTCGCGTGATCCGGGCGGTGGGCCGAGAAGCGTCGACGGCTCGCTTCGCGGCGGGTTGTCGTCAGGACCGGGAGAGACGACATGCTGCTTGAGCCGCATGCGGTGGTTGTGGAACCAGTTGGTGATGGTGCGCACAGAGAGTCCCAGCTCGTTCGCGAGGAACTCGATTGTGGCCGTGCTCGGGTACGGGTCCATGGAGAAGGCGAGCCGCAACGCTTCCTTCTGCTCGTCCGAAAAGAGCACACGTGGCTTCTTGGCTGCCGGGAAGGGGGACGACGGCGCCGCAAATGGGAAGCTCCCAGCACCGGGCGTCAGGGCAGGCAGCGAAGGCGGCTGCGCCTCCATCGGACGCGGAGCAGCCTCCAGGTCCACGTGAGTTCGGCGCCGCTTGTTCGCTGCACAACCAACAATCGCGAGTTACTCACAATATCTGCCTGCTGTTCCACACGACGCGCGAGTCAGATTTACGTCTTATCTAGAGTAACATGCTCGAAAAAGAGCTACAAAAGTAAGGTGCAGCTTGCGTACACATTCCGTATTTCCCACGAGTTGGCAGAAGCCGGACACCGTTAGCCATAAAAGATTTTGAGGTGTGAAATACGCAGAGTGCTTCGACGCCTGAGCACTGGCTCGTTTCAGCATGGAAGTCGCGCCATCTGTATTTTTGAAGCCCTAATTTCAAGCCTCCAGAATGTGCCTATGTTTGACTAATTAACGGCTCACTTAGCTTAAACAACACTACGGTTTCGTCGTTCTTTTACCGCTTTATTTTGTATACAACAATCAAAAGAATCAAAAGGCGCACTAAATATGAAAAGCGAAGCAAATTTGTTGATGCATCCAGGACTATGCACTCACAAAATACTAAGAAGCTTCTCTCAGAAGGGGATGAAAAAAAAAAGAAAATCAGCTTCCAGCTCACCTTCTCTACGCTCATTCTTGATGACTTGCAGCTTCTCGACGTTGTGCGGGTCGTTCAGCCAGAGCTGCATGCGGATGAAAGGCTCCCTGCCCTTAATGCTCAGCATGTGCCATGGCTTGGGCTTGGACAACAGTTCACTCACAGAGCCCTGAGACAGCCCAAGCACGGCCTCGCCGAAGATCTGCGAGAACATCCAAGAATAACAGTTACAGGCCACGAACATAGTGAGGGGGACGCGGAACGCGGTGTAAAAAAAAATACATCCTAAGCAGCTGCATCATTCAATAATTCTTGGCCTCTGTGTACCGTTTTTTCTACTAATGTTGAGCTTAAGCATTCTGTAAAACTTACTAGTAACTAGCTAGTCTGCATGGCCCACTTGTCATGATTTGCCACTCGTCACGGCGATTTTGAGAATTAGGCTAGAATTGCCATTTCTACTGAATTCTCTAATACGACAAGTGATGCGTAGATTGGAAAAGTTATATTCTCTGTAAAGGAAGTATAGTCTTTGAGCTTTCCTGTAAATTACGATATAAAACAGCAAGCTTAAATACGGGACTACGACCACAGCCCAAAGCTTCTTCATGTCTGTCTGGTCTCAGGCGTTCCCAACACACGTTTTTTGGCCCATTTCGTCCTCGATTTATGAGATTTCCTCATCTCTTTCTCAAGGCACTTCAGAGCTTGTTTATTTCAGTTTTTCTTTCGTATTTCCTTGCAGGTACTGCTCGACCTTGTTAAACCATTCGAACACGCTGCACGTTTCTTGAAGTCATCTTCTCCGCACTAACACCTAGCTTGCGGCAAAGCACGCTTTACCGAGAGCTGTCAGGTTGAAGGTGACTGCACGCCAGCTTCTCTCTTTTGTTTCTCTTTTACTACCATTCGTCCTCTCACACTCCTCTTTACACACACCTTATTTTATTGCGATATCAATTATACGGTCACTCTCGGCTGAATTTTGCAGCCGGCGTCACTCACCGAATATGTATACGTATCTATGTATATAAAAATGCAAGAAAGAAAAAAAAATCAGGAAGACTCCGGCGAGCGAAATCGAGCTTGGGTCAATTCAATCGTGTGTGCGAGACCTTAACAACTAAGCCTCCGAGGAGCACGTCGTCATCGTTCAAACGGCAAGCTATTTGTGTCTACCACTTACCGCTGCTCATGGGCATCTCGGGGGGGGGGGGGGGGGGAGGAGGACTATCGTGTTTTGAGTATTACCAGAAAGATGGCACAAAGAGCGCGCGTCACCACATCGCTCGGCAGCACGCACTCTAATCTCCCACGCTTACTTTGCCCCGCTTAGAGGAGAGGAGCGACGCTCCTTCCTTATCTCACGGTGGGGATGTCTTGGCTGGCCTCGGGCTTTACCTGGAACGTTTCTGTGGTAGTCACCGGCCGCACAAAGGTCACTGCAATCATCGATTGATTGATTTGTGGGGTTTAACGTCCAAAAACCACCATATGATTATGAGAGACGCCGTAGTGGAGGGCTCCGGAAATTTTGACCACCTGGGGTTCTTTAACGTGCACCCAAATCTGAGCGGACGGTCCTACAACATTTCCACCTCCATCGGAAATGCAGCCGCCGCAGCCGGGATTCGATCCCGCGACCTGCGGGTCAGCAGCCGAGTACCTTAGCCACTAGACCACCGTGGCGGGGCTCACTGCAATCATTGCAGTCTCCGTTTGCAAAAAGCGCGCGCTTTTCAGACAGAGCAAAGTAACAACTGAGACGCTCATTCGCGTGCATTTGTATTTGTGAGAACATTTTGTGCGTTATCTGCTTTCCATTCTGGGTGTGACCTTGCTATCGCGTTCATTGCTTCGCATTTGCGGCAAAGCTTCTTTTACTTAGTTTTTCGCTTGATTCGCTTCCAGACGTAGGTCAATCCACGTTTTCCTTCAACCTGTAACAGGTTGCACAAACCCCAATCGTAAAGAATTTACTTCCTCGGACTGTTTTTTTCATCTTACAGAAAACGCGCTTTACAGGAACCCTTTTAGTGGACCGGTTTACAAATTTTTTTCAGAGTTGCGATTCACCCATTACGCAATAACTACCGCATCTGGCACGTAAAAGTTCTTGAGGTACGCACAGACACGCAGGTACAAACCTTGGTGGTAACCGCATGTGCCCTACAAATCGTGAACATCGAATGCATAGCTTCCACTGGTTGCCACAGCCATGCAGCACGGCCGCGGCAAACGCTGCCTTTCTGGCTCTTACCTCGCTGCTCATCACTCCGTACATGGAAGCTTCAAATTACCCATTCGTGTCTCTTGCCGTAGCGCCAATGTTGGATGGCTTAGCGGCTGCTCGACGTGCCAAATTCGTCACACTTGCCAAATAGACTAGGATTGTCCTGTTCACACAGGCAAACTGTGTAAACTCAATAAGATCCCACTGATTAACATGTCCTGTAGGTTGAAACGAAAGCTTTCCCTTTTAAGTTACTTTGGTTTATAAGCATGCGAAACGCGCAGTGTCGAAAATTCAGAGAGTACATCAACTCGCGGAGCGGCACAAGTGACATAGGTGAAAAGAATACAAGGCTGCCCTACCTTCTGACCAATGTTATGAGCCATAAGCGTCTCCTTGATCTTGGCCGTGATGGTCTGTGTGTCCAAGTCGGTGGTGAGCGCTGCCATCTCGTACACCGAGGGCTGCACGTACGGCAGAGATCGGCCGCCGCCGCCGCTCGGGTGGTGAGAGTGGCCCTTGCGGGCAGCCGTCGTGGGACTCGAGGGTGGCGCGTACATTGCCACGCGAGAGTCCTGCTGCTGTTGCTGCTGCTGCTGCTGCTGTTGGTGATGCTGTTGCATGAGAGCCACCTGCAGCTCGGGCGAGGCGCTGAAGGGGCTCTTGCCTAGCAGCGGTGACGCGCTGTCACAGTGGCTGTTGCGATGCGACGGCAGGTCACGCGCGGCAGCAGCCCTGGCCGCCGCTGCGCTGGACGCGGGAAGCTTGCTCGAACCAGCTGTGTGGACAGAAGACAAGCCGCTATCAGAATCGCATGCTCATCGAGATCTGAACAGTGAAAGTCGAACAGAAAAGATGCATCATTGTGAGGGAACAATTAATCCACCTTTGCAACACTACTGAGAGCACACCAAACCAGTGAAAGCACAACTTCCGACTAAGAATTGTGTATAAGAGTGAGTTACTTAACAAAGACAATGGGTAATTGGAGGATTCTTCTTCAAAGAAAATAAAACGCACAATTATTGTAGTTACACTTGATATCCGGCTCCTCGTGTGATTTATTTCTCTTTGAATTCAGTCTATTAGTGTTAATGAACTTTAAGGGGTGGCAAGCGAGCCTGGCGTCTCCAAATACAAGCTCTGGGGGTACTAACACCTCCTGTAATGTACATTCGCGCCTCATGGCGCACGCGTTTCACGCATGGGCCGCATTCAGGGTTCACAACCATCGAGTCGGTCGGTGGCGTTGTGCTCGCGAGCGCTTTCAGCATCAACATTTTAGTTAGCGCGGTAGAGCCAGCAGTGATACCTGGAGGTGACGTTAGGTGGGCGGACAAGAAAGATGATTGTCTTCCTGCAGCGGGTCTGTGGTGATGGCGCCGTGGGACGTTTACCATGGGCCCCTCAGGGTGAGTCGAGCGTTGGCGATGCCGCCTTCAGCGCTGCCTTGTGTTTGTTCTTATGTTTGATCGAATGTATGGAATATTGTGTGAGGTTGTTTAGCGTTTAATCAGGAGTGATGTATACGATTCGGCTGACGATATCGTCGTTGTAAAAGCAGTTAAATGTGTTGTTAGCTTTGGTCAGACCGCGGTTGCTGCGTCCGTTCGCTCCGAGAGTGTGGTGCCGCATAGCGAGACCCCTCAGAGCTCTTAATATCCGCTCATGGTTTTGCCTTAACAAGCGTCACCTGCACCTCTACCTGCACGTTGGAACACGTACCGAGCGGGCTGGAAGGCGGCGGTGAATCCCGAGGTACGCATGAGCTTCTCGGGTGCGATCTTGTACTGCGAGGCGACCAGCTTGTGTACGGCATTCTCGTCCTCGAGAAAGATCTTCATGCGGATGAAGGGCTCGCGGCCTTTCTGCGTCAGCATGTGCCACGGCTTGGGCCGCGCCAGCAGGTCGGACACCGAGCCCTGGGACAGGCCCAGTACGTTCTCGCCGAACAGACGCTGGCTGATTGAGTACTGGCTCAGCTGCTCCTTCACCTGCAACGTCGACCGGTGGATGCTATCTTACCCTTTTTCACAGTGCGAGTTTGAATGCAATGAGTGAGGAAGTATTTTCGATCGTGAAGTGTCACTGGAGCGAACGTTTCGAGAAGTGGACTCGTCTCCGTCAGCTGGTGCCTTGACGAAGACGAGCCCACTTGTGAAAAGGTATGGCTCCAGCGACATACTCTCATCACTTCAAGCCTCAGTCTTTCCCTGATCTTTTATCTTGTTTGGACATGTTAACGTACGCATTCAAGAAAGTACAAATCATTAAGCTCAATATTTGCATTCAAGAGGGCTCATAGCTCGTTTATATTTACAAAATGGTACTGTTTCATGCAGAAGCTGTCGAGCATATTGAATGCCAAAGGTACCAGGGTTCACTAAAGCTCCTTTTATAACACGCGCTTTGATTAGGCGATGACCAATCCTTAAAACGCGAACAAAAAGAAAAGCGGATGATGGCGATCTTTCACAAACCTTCTTGACTATCTCCTCGGTGTTGAGGTTGTTGTACTGGTCGAACTGCTGCTGCGTAATGGGCGGTAGGACGGCCTTGTTCTGGCGCTGGTTGGTCGTAGGCATGGTCGGCGTCGCCGTTTGCGTCAGCAGCGAGTTGGTGATGGACTGCATGCGCTGCAACGGCGAAGAGCCAAGGTCTTCGGGCGCCGCGCCGCCCGGCGGCGTGTCCGACAGGCCCAGAACGCCAGCGGCGCCCGGAGGACTTGGGGTCGAACCGGAGCCCGGGAACTTGACACCCGGCCGCACCAGCGAAAATGCGCTACCTGTTGCCAGCGACAAGCGGAGGAAAAACTTTCAGAGCGGTTCATCGCCCATTCATTTCGACGTAAGTTATGCTATACCGCACTGTATATTCCGATACAACATGATCTCACACTCTTGTGTTCATTTATGTCCACGTGATTTCAGTATTACTGCACTTCGTATTTAATATCACCGATTAGTTTTAATTATTTAGGTACAATAAGCATTTGAAGTTCCTTGCGTGTAAGATTGTTACAACGCCATGAGCTCTATAGTTACTTGAGCGGCAGGCATATGCAGTATATGTGGCGCATAATAGAATTATTTTCATGCTGAGCCGCATAAGAGCTCCATGAAACACTGGCAATTAGGTCACAGAAAGCACGCGCTTGAAATACAGCCGCATACGTCAAGTGGCCAACGGAGGCGTGCACTAAATAGGCAAGGAATATTTTTAGACACAGCGGGACATCATGATACGGAAGAGTACATCCCGTAGGTGCATCACAAAGGTGGCATCACTCACTGTATTTGTTGCCACCACGCTGCTTGTGCCAGTCCCTCGGCGCCAACTGCGCAGCAAGGGAAGATCCACCTCGACGCTGGTGCTGCGACGTCGGAGGTTGCTGCTGCTGTTCGTGCGCCGCGCGCATAGCTTCGGCAGAATCGGCGGCTGCGACCCTTGCCGCCGCCGCAGCCGCCGCCGCGGCCGAAGCGGCGGCTGCCGCGCCGGGACCACCCCTCAGCTCGGGTCCCAGAGACAGGCCCGGGAAGGCGCCGTTCAGCAGCGCCCCGGGCAGAGCAGCCGCGCCGAAGCGCGCGAACTCGTGGCCCGGCGTTAGCGCGAGCTGCGAGAGCCGCGACAACTCGTGGTGGTAGATGGACAGCGCCTGGCGGATCTCCTCGTGCGTGCGGTCGTACTGTTGCTGCCGGAAGCTCTCTTCCACTCGCTGCCCCATGAGCTTGGCCAACTCCTCCTGGTAGATGCGTGCAACCATCTCCTGCGGAGAATCAAGACCAAGCGTTAGCACTCCCGAACAACTTCATTCTCGCCACACTGACTTCGTGGCACCCAGAAAGGAGCCACACTTGTGGAAAGTTGCAATGGCGGCAAGAACTCTAGCAGGAACCGATATGTCGTTGATTTGGGCTCTTGTAAACGAGGATATGGGACTTCACGAATGGTATGTGCAGAGGGCCGGAAAGCAACACAATTGTACTTGAGGATCAGTTTGGCACTCACCACACTTGTATAATTTTACACACAAGGAAAACCGAGGTATAGGCTGACGAAAAAACGTTTGTAAACTAGCAAGGCACAATTGTTTCTGCTATGGATGCTAGTCGCACCTGCGGTATGTCGTCGTTCTCGTACTTCCGGCTGGACCGTTTCGCGTCCTTGTGGGACGTCCGCAGACTGCGTGCTGTTCGCGTTGTTGGTGTCGACGTCCTGGTCGCTGTCAGCGTGAGGATCGTCGGCAGCGCCGTTCTGCGCTCCTGAAGATGGCGGCGCCGGACTGCGCTCCTTGCTCATCGGAATCGTCATGGCTTGCTGGGCTTCGCTGAGGATCTGCGCGATGCGTTCCTCGGCGGCCGCGTCCTCCTGGCGGCTCGAAGCGCTGGAGCCGCCAGACTCCTTGCCTGCAATCACGAGCAGAGGAACGAGCATCTGTTTACAGCTGTGCGCTACGGTGTTTTCAACGCATGCTCAAAATCGCACTGGGCTGACAGCAAGATCAGACGGAAACCGATAGAACCATGCACGTGTCTGAAGACCATATAGCAAAAGGAGTACGAGACTTGCGTTGGCGCGTGCTAAATAAGATGTGTGTGATCTTACACAACTAGTGGACAGTCACAGGTGGTTTAAGAGAGTGAGGACACTAGAGAGGCTTGCATAACGTGACGCATTCATGCCATTTTATGCTTGCGCTAATGAACTACGCCGCAGTGATGAACGAGGCACAGAACGAGTCAAGTTCTTCTAGCATACAGCTGGCAATGTGGACAATCAAGCACGTGCGCAGAGCGCCCGCTCACCTTTCTTGGGAACGAGCGACTTGAGCATGAAGACGCAGAAGTCGTCCGAGGCCCACGCGTGCATCTTGCGGTACGAGTCGCGGCCCTTCTCGGTAAGCTTGTCCCAGGGCTTGGGCTTGGAGAGCAGCTCGCTCACGGTGCCCTGCGACAGGCCGAGCACGAAGCGCGCGAACAGACGCTGGCCCACGTTGTGTGCGCTCAGCAACTCGCGCACCGCGCGCGCCACGTTCTGCGTGTTGAGCGCCTCGCAGGCATGCCGCTCCATGTTCTGGCGCAGGCACTCCTGGAGGCGCTCCAGGGACGCTCCTATCACTGGGTCCGGTGTGGGCGGCGTGGCACCGGCCGCCTCGTCCGGCCCGCCGCGGCCGCTGCCCGTCGAGGTGTCGGTGCCCGTGGACATGGCGTCGGCGTCCACGGACTTTGGCGTCGCCGGCGGGCTCGAGACGATCGGCTGCTGCGGCTGCTCGCTCTTGAGCATCCGCGAAAAGGACGAGACGATCTCCTCGCCGAGGAGTGAACCGAACGCTTCGACGTTCTGCAGTCGACTGCGAGGGGAACCTGCGCAGGCGGGAGATTTCAGTCAAGACAGTCAATACTGACCGCTAGACAACCAATATTGATCGATAGCCAATCGATACCCAATAATTTATAAAGAAATGCTACCGAATCCAATGTATGCTTTGTATGTATGCTTACCCTTCAATAAACTTCAAACTTCAAACTAATGCTCGATTGAGCTTGGGCGCACGTGCACTGCCGATCAATAGTAAATCGAAAGCCGGTCAATACTGATCCATAAGGAATCAATACACGGTAATTCATAGAAACTTAGTGAAGCCAGGAATAGCTAGGGGACTAACAGCTTGCGCCAGTTGTGCAAGCTGCACAAGTTTCGTTCGACTGATTGATCGTTCAGCGAGCGCGGGGTCTATCAGTCAGACAACCGAATTAGCAATCAGCAGTTTCATCCACTAAATCCAATCTCAGAGAAAACAATCATTTTTACCTTTCTGTCTCTACGTATTGATAAGTTTAGAAACTGTCAGCATCAGCCCTGTAGCAGCGCTGGGTAAAATGGCGCCTCTCAGAGATTCTTACCCTTTTGGAAACTTGCACAATCATCTCGATGAACTACGACCATTTTTCTGTGTTATCTAAGGTTATCCTGTAATGTAAAATTCGTGAACACAGGGTGCCACCGGGGCCGACGTATCGACAGGTGGAATTGTCTTCATGAAGGCTAAAAAAACACGTGACTGATTCTCCTATATACGAATCCGTATAACTGGGAAGTGAAAAGGGTGTTTACAGAGGTAGTTGAGCGTTTATTGCGCATTGTTTCAGCGACAGCAACAAACAGCAAAGTCACGTTAGGAAGGGAAAGCAGCCCAAAACTTGCAGCGCACACCTCAAGCAGAAAGCACGCACCAAATTAGCATACACAGGACGAGCACGGACTATCAACTGTCAAAGCTCGACACCTAAAGGGCGCTGTTCAAACAGAAAGAAAGACGAACGAAACGAGCACACATGTACACACATGACAACTGTCACATTTCTTCCTGCGTCGTGTGGCAGCAGTGCGCTCCTTTCGTAAAAGTGGCTGTGGCAGCGTGCGAAATGACCTTCGTCGTCTTCCGAATCGCGAGTCGGATAAGCGCGCGCAAGAGAGAGACCACGCTCCGTGGAGGCGGCGCTTCGTGCAGGCGACGAGCTTTAGAGTGCGCACGACGCGAGCCCGTCGCACCATCTCGCCACTGATAACAAAAACACGCTAAAGTTACGAAGCTCTGACGACTGCCAAACGGTGTATGTATGCACTATACACCGCTTAATTATACGGATAAATAGCTTGCCGTTAGCATATCAGACGACGTACGCTCCGTGGAATAATGATTAGCGCCGCACGCTGAGGATCGAGAGGTTGCTCGTTCGTTCCAAGGCGCCTTGCCTTCTGTTTTTTTTAAGTGTCTTAATACAAGTTTTTCACCGTCACTTCCGTGACAGAAGTACGTCAACGGAGCCGTGTTGGAACCCGGCATAAAACGCTTTCGTGTTAAGAAAATCAGGTGCGCTTGCGAAACGTCATTTCCAGCATGACCCCGTGTGCACGAATTTTTCATCCCTTCAAGCCTTCCATCTCCCCGTGAACTTCAGCCGTTATCGTGTAGCGTTATTTCTAATTAAAACAAGATGAGGAAAAGTTACTATAGGACGTGAAAGTGAAGAAATCAGCCTAGCTATCTGACCAGTTTAGTACCATAAATGTCCACACTGTCTCTACTTCTCCCCAATTATGTGCACATTGTGGCCAAGGAGCATATGCTCTTGTGCATCATAGCGAAGAAAAATGACGCACGACCACAATGAGCACATAGACGAAGAGACAATATGGGAGACAGACAGACAGGCGGACGGACGAACAGACGGACAGACGGACACACAGACAGACAGACAGACAGACAGACAGACGGACGGATAGACAGACGGACGGACAGACAGACAGACGGACAGACAGACAGACGGATAGACAGACAGACGGACGGACAGACGGACAGACAGATAGATAGCATATCGAATACACTCTATGCATTAGCTACTCACCTGCATCGTCTTTTGGTAGAGGCGGCGAAAGTCTCGTCCGGTTCTTGCCGTACAGCACGAGATCGACACAGTTGTTGTTGTTGTTGTTGGACGACACCAAAGTGGGCTTCTCATCCTGGTCGTCACTGGGGTTGTCGCTGTCTTCCAGCATCTTGAGGTTCCTGGGTCCAACATCGTCGTCGTGTCATTTTCCCGCACGCGAATGAGTATACGGCGTTGATGTATTAGTATGCACGTTTACACAACAGCGCGCGCAGGAAGAAGAGTATCAAGCAATTCCAGGCTTGCGCAGTAGTACAAACTTTGGGCATAAAAAATGAATCAAGTATACTTCAGAATAATATCAGGCACCGAAAACAAGTTTTCTTTAATATCCCTAGCAAAGTATAAATAAAGAATGTAATAAAAAAAATAGAGACATGCAAGACAACAGGTATTGCTTCTAAAAAGAAGTGCGACTTGGCAGAATAATGCGGAACATAAAAATCACACTGAAAGACTTGCAGGTAGGAGTATCGGTCCCCGCTGTGTGCACTGTCATGGCATGCGCTTTATCGGCAAGGTTACTTCCACTACTTTGAGAGTAGCCCGCCACCGTTATCTTATCAAGTATTTCAACACGCGCAGCTTACCTAAGTTCGTTCTTTATGTCCTCGTAATCTTTTTGTCGATCCAGCCTGTCTTCAAGCTCTTGGATTATTCTAGACTTCTCTGCAAGCATTCCTTCGAGTTGAGCAATCTGCGGTAGAAAAAAAAGAGAGGAAGAAAAAATAAACAACCCGAAAGAGTGAGGATATCGCACATACATATGTCGCATCACATGCACAATTAAACCTCGCCGACCGAATAGCGGACGTCACGAAAGCAGCAAAGTATCGGGAGAAAATGTCTAGCCTAAGTTCGTGACTTCGGTAGCAAAACTTAATGGACAACCAACTTATGCAATATTAATGAGAACTAACAGACAACAACCTGTTCTCATTAACACTGTGTCTAACAAAGAAAAAAAACGAGTCCTTAAAATTTCCATTTTTATCCTTCGACATATGCTATGCTACACGATGTTTCATTATTAACTTCAATCAATCAAATCAAATGAACTCTCACCTGTGAGGCACTTGTCTCTTTTAGAGAATCCACTGCCGACTGCAGCTTCCTAATATCTTCGACTAGTTGAGATATCTGCGTAAAATATGAAAAAAAAATTAAAAAAGAGAGGAACAAGACACAGGAAGCAGTAAGCGAATACTGATTCAAGGATAAATTACCGACTGCCAACCTTAGGGGTTCTTTTTTTCTTGTAATTTTTTTAAAGTTTTGGGCGAAGGTACGAAAATAGCTAATCGAGGTACACCAAATATAAAACTTGCCTCGATGGCTCACATGTTGGGCAATAAGGCTTCGCAATTGCGAGTTTCAACAGACGAGCCGGTCACGGAGTATACGCGACGAGAGGAGGCGTATACTGAATAGGGACGAACCTCCTTGTCCTTGGAGGCGAGCTGCAGCTCGAGCGCGGCCCCGCGAGGGCGACGCGGTGTCCCTCGCAGAGGACGGCGGAGGCGGCGACGAGGAGTCCATGTCAGACAGCTGGTCTCGCAACAGCACCGAATCCTGCTCGGCCGCCACGGCGCGCTGCGAATATACCGAGAAAGAAAGGGGACGTCAATGAGGTTGCACTCTGGAAACGCGTGTATACAGTCATGATGATCAATAGCCAACAAGGACGTGCACATTTCGGTGAAAGGACAAAAAAAAAAGAAATTGCACAGAGGCGAAAATGCTTGAGGTACGTGTGCCTATAGATTTAGGTGCACGTTAAAGAACACCAGGTGGTCGAAACTTCCGGAGCCCTTCCCCTACGGCGTCTTTCAATCATGTCGTGGTTTTGGAGCGTAAAACTCAGACAGTCATTATTAATTTCACTGAAAACAAAAAGGCGTGCGTCACTGCACGAAAAGAACACCTTGCTAAGCGCGCAAAAGCACAATCGACCGATACGGATAGCGTGTGTGCTCAAGATGCGCGCGGGATTAAAATAGGGAAGCTTCGAAGCCCCGGCGTCAAGGCGGTCACTGTCCTTTCACGAAGAGTTCCGGCGTCATTTTCAAACCCTTTAAAGCTTGTAAGAGGTGTCCACAAGGGTTATGACACTTTCACAGCTTCGAGATGTTCACAGATAGAACGCGGCAACGACTATAGGGTCGTATACGCAATGGCTCCGAAGGTTTTGGCAAAGTACGACTAGATCACCGACAACGAAGGTCCTCCAGCGAAGTATGGAGGAGGATTGAAAGAGGAAAGACAGGGAGGTTAGCGAAGTATGGGCTGTCCTATACTGTATATACACCGCCGTTCCGACTTGCCTCTTTCATAAGTATTACAGGGATAGGTTAAGAAACGCAGGGAGCGCTTGATAAAAACAAGAAAGTATCCGATGATGTATAAATGGAGCAGCGGTGTGAATGTACGGAGGAAACGGGCCCATCATATCAGTTTCTGAACTGCATGGGGACTACTGGATGGCATATCTGCGACCTATTCAGCAAATCCAGAGTTCAGCCATTTCATATCAAATTAGTAATCGACTTCGCAAAAGTTTGAAAGTGTACGTCGAGCACAACTATACGCATAACAGATATCGGCAGGTTGGAAACATTGTGTTGAGAAACTTTGCGTTTCACTTCCATATGCCCACTCTCGCTCAATGAGCCCTCGTTGAAGATAACGCTAATTCTGCTTCCATTTGGTGGAATATCTTTAATATATTTATCTTGGTGTTATATGTTTAGATAAAAGGTAGTGGTGTCACTCTCCGTGCCACCACCGCCGTTGCTTTTGCACCCGGAAAACGAGATCCACCGCAATTCCCCCGCATTTGCGCTAGCACGTTTCTTCGCGTGCTCCTATACTGCGGTACTTAAGTGCGTGTAGAACAAATGGACACTTTATTTCCGACCAACGGCACAGTCATTAACGGAACGTGCTTAATGCGCACAAATTAGGCAGGTCCTATACCACCACTTCGGCTTCTCTTGTTCAGGTGAATTCGCAGCATCTATATAGCGTTGTTCAGCCACGGCCCTCAGCTTCGGCTACACCTCTCGCTGCATCCACTATAGTTGAACAACATCCATTCCGGCGTTATACTTAAAACTTAACTCGCGAGAAAGTTTTCGCGCGCCTTCTATCGCGGATTCGCATGCAAGCGCGAGAAAAACACCTTCAAAAGCACGGGCCCTGACGCCGCGCGAAAAGTACGTCTCTCCTTTTATACGCGAGAGGACGGCGGCCAACCTAGTGGCAGCAGCGTGGAATTCTTAAGCCGCGATAAGCCTCGCGGGCCCCTGCGAAAACGATGTGCCACTCTGCGCGCTATACGCTCGCGTATAGGGTATAGTTGTTGCCGAGCGGTTTTCTTCGTTTTCTACCAAGAACGAAGACAACGCGGGCGTCTCTATCGTGGATTTCGAGGGCTGCGTGAAGCGCGCGCGGGTCTTCCTTGCGCCGTGCAATCAAAGGGTTTCGCGGGACCAACAACGAACACACCCCAGCCGAGTTAGACCTCCGCGCGTCCGTCTTAATTCCCGCTCCTCACCTTAAGCGCGCCACAGTGGCGGCGCAGGTCGGCATAGCCAGCCTGGTATACGCTATGCGCGACACGAAAACCGCGCGCCACGAGGCCATTTGACAGCGGGCGCGTAATTCGAGCAGACACGCGAGTGGAAATGAAAAATTCAAGAACCTCCTTTGGGCGAAGAGGCCGCGCGGCCGGGAATTCTCTGCTTTTCGGCTGCTGCCACGCGCAACGTGCGCTAACTGCACTCGTTACTGCTGCAGGTCCCCCCGCCCCCTCTTACGTTACTTGTGAAGTCCGAGTCATTTGGAGTTGCGGCCCGAGGCGGGGTCGAACGTCCAAGGGGTACGCTCATATTATCACTTTGTTTATCTCCTCCGTTTTCCTCGTTGTTTCCTTCGGGAACACAGGTGCCATTCTGCCGCACAAGTGACTTCAACGCATGCTAATACAGTGGGCTTACGCATCCCAAGTTGAAACGCGTGCATTATTACTGGTCCGCTAGCGCTATAGGCGCGCACCTGTATACAAACATTACCGATGAACGGCCGTTGGACGCGTCAGAATCGCCCATCCCTGAATTCGTTAATACAGCAGGTTCCACGAATTAAGGCACACACGCGAGAGTTGGGCATTCTTCAGCAAGCGCGCCGTCTGTCTACTCTCGCACCTGATATTAATATTCACAAGCACCGGTATACAGCTGTCGAAATCGTCGCTGAGCGGCACGAGCAGGAAGATGGCGAAGAAAAGAGCGAAATCTTGTACCGTCGCGACGCTCTGCCGTCCTCGATCTGACTGAATCATTGTTAACATCGAGCGCGCTTGTGTCCACACGAATCGTTTCAACTTTGCGCGCCATTCGCACGTTTAGTGAAGAACGAATGGCGTGCAGATTGCTACATCTCTTAGCCAAACGTTGGCGACATGCTTATATAGCCAGTGCCGTGGAAACTCTTACATTGCTAGTACAGCCTATAGAATGTATATTGCAAAGACATTGCCAAGTAGAGTCTATTTACGGTGCGGTCAAGACGGAAGCGCTGTCTTTATCATTTGTAGCATCCATTCCGTTTTGCAGCACGTGTAAAAATATGCGCCTTATGCGACGAAGTGATTCACGTTGTCACTTCGTTTCCCTATACCTTCAACTCAGTGTCTTGATTATATACGCCTCACACGTGTTTAACGTCTCGAATAAACAGCCCCCAGAACCGAGTCGCGGCAGTCCTAACCCTCGTCAACCGACATCTGCAAATGTCGACGTTACCGCAGAGGAATTGGGGGCACATGTTCGCCTAATAAAGCGGCTGCTTCCAAGACCACGTTCGAGTTTATGTTGTTCTAGTCACAAAAATACGTGACAATGTATTTTCACAGATACACTGAAAATCTCGCAATAGTCGAGACGCGGAGAGATCGCTGATGTCTCAGTGGACTTCCAAGACTCTAAGAAAAAAAATATATATGATACAACAAAAGTGTAGACCAGCTTGTCCTTCTGTAGAAAAAAAAAAGATGTCCTGTTGAAAAGAGCAAGAATAAAGAAATCAAACATTAGGGAACATTGCCAATAGACAACGGTTTCCAAATTAAAGCCCATTTCGGAGATGAGAGTTTGCGTGGAAGAGCCAAGTGACGCGGACTGAGACGTTCGCAGAGCCTCGAAGTCGCGCCGATGCACACGCAGGGAGAACAAGAGGATGCGGCTCTTCACAGATTAATCGCGTCCATCTAAGCCAAGGCCGTGCTCGCAGTTCGAATCGGCAATTACGGCGACGCGATACACGTTTGCTTTCGCTTTCTTAATTCGCAGATGCGTCTTGACCAAGCCACGGCGGGACATCTTGCGAAATAGAATCGTCCTCTTTTTGATTTAACCATTTCCTTTTCGCGTATACTTTAGCGTGTGCAACCCATCGTACGACTTCCACTCGGAAAACAATACATAGAACCGATTTTCTTTTCTCCCCTTCGAGCCATAGTTCTTGTCGTGCGCGGCATGCCTCTCGTTTGTCGCTCACGCTATTATTATTGCCCAGCATAGCTTCGTGACATGGGAGGATCGACGATGTTTTCTGGGCGTCACTCGCGCTGATTGAAGCGGCGACAGAGTGCAGGACAACCAGGGAAAAAAAAAAAAGAAAGAAGTACGGCCTCTGCTCACATACTTTAATTTCTTTCTCGACGATCAACTTGTTCGGCCAGTGGCATGCTCGGAAAAAAAACTTTCTAATCTCGCGTTATTGGAGCAGAATTGAAGCCGCTCGGATAGCAATCGTCGAGAATAGTCGAGCTTGCTTGCCAAAAAACTTCCGAATTCGGCTAGTGGAAAGATTCGAAAGAACATACGCAAAAAACAACAGCAACAAAAAACTAGTAGTATGCACTTACAACACATATATAAAACTCCTGTTGTCTGGCTTAGTTATAGTAAAGTTGCAGATGAGCTAGGCAGTCGAAAGTTCTCGGGCGCAAGGGAGAAGGTCGTAAACAAGGGGCCAGAACTATGTACCAACTACAACTTAAACACGAAAACAACTGCGTGCATGCATTTAGTGCGAGAATCATGAATCGGGCGTCGTGCTGTTCGTTCACTGCAGCATTGCGGCAGCGATACCCACGCCATTCTTGTGTCTGTCCGTTACGGCCGAAGTTCGCGCATGATAACCAGCAGGCCCGATGCGATCTCGCAGGACAGAAAATATTTACGGCGTGTCTTGTTTGTGACGAAAGCTACAAAGAATTAGTCGAGGAAAGAAATGTTGAAAATGCCCAGCACACCGAAACGTGCTGAGAAAGAGTTTCGGCAACTAAATGTTGCGCAAACATTCACCAGGGAAAAGAACGAGAGACCGTGAACAAGAACAAAGCAGAATTGCGAAAGTGAAACTTAAAAGTTGGCATTCATCGGTTCCTTAGTTGAAATAATGGCAACACGAATGTCTCTCCAAAGGTACGTTGGAGCACAAAATCAGGACAGCAGCTCACTATACAAGCGCGTTCGTACGGGCATTGCGTGAATGTATACAGTGTGGCGATTCCCAAAAGAGCAAAA